GCGCGTCCGCCAACATGGAGCCCAACACGGATAGCGACTTGCTGACCATCCTGGACGCTAACCTGTACCCCGAGTTGGCCGAGCAAGGGTTGGGCCGTGAGATCATCAACCGTCTGCAGCGTCTTCGTAAGAAGGCGGGTCTTGTCCCCACTGATGATGTGAAGATGGAGTATGCCGTCCTGTCGGATCCCGAGGATGTGGGCATCAACAAGGCGTTTGAGACGCAAGCCAAGGCCATCGAAAAGGTTGTGCGCAGACCGCTCGACCGCTACGAGCTTGTGGACGGCAAGGTGCCCAGCGGAGAGGAGCCGGGAATGATCATTCAAGAAGAGCAAGAAGTACAAAAGGCTACTTTCCTGTTGCGTCTGCTCAAGTTGTAGAGGTTTGATCGATTCGCACAGATAAGATGTTGATAGCTTAGACCATACAATTCCCGCTAGTTACGATGTTTTGACATTTCTTTTTGTTTAATTGATGGATGAATAAAATTACACACGTTCATGATGATACGTTTTTACATATACCTGCAGAGACCTTTCCTATACGGACACCGCCATACATGCTAGTAGAAGCCAAACAGCCCAATGCGCCTAAACCATGTAGTTTCTCCTGCAACCCATCATCCACCCTTAGACTTTCTTCGAGGCCGCCTGTCAAGCGTGAATTAGCCATGTTACAGATGAAGTCATCCTGGAGATGCGGGTTTTCTTCCTACCAGAAAGCAGTCCTTGAGCTTCATGAACTCCTTGGCGCACATGTCCTTTTGCACGGCATTGTAGTCCGCAACGACGCATTTGCCATACGCAGCAGCCTGGAAGCCCGTCTGTCAGCTGGATCGAGCAGATTCGGTGTTTCATATCATATCATACCTCGACCGAGCACTTCGAGGCAGCCTTTGCAAACTTCTCAATGGGTCTTGTCTTTGTTGACGGCATCTTGCTCAGTGTCTTTGCCACACAGAGAGTTAAAGACTTAAGTACTATCTACAGGTGATTGATTGTTCTTCTATCCAAAGCGTGACTGTTGGACCAGCTCCCGTTACATAATCCATCACATGACCCAGCACATTCCCATCGCCGGCGCGACACGAAAAGCAAAAGCAAAGCAAAAACAACTTGGCTTTTTGACTGACAAAAAGTCAATGCCTTGTCGCCCGGCCGTGCCATTGGGTCCCACCGGTCCATTTGGGAACCTCTCTTGCGGTCTAACTTGACTTTAGCTTGACTTTGCGGCCTGGAGCATTGTGGGCCTCTGACAACCCACCTAGCAACACCACCCCCGACCGTGTGTGTGTGTGTGTTCGTGCCTGTTCCGCGATGCTTAATGATTCCCTGTTCCGTCTCCATGAGCCTTATGCGAAAAACGCGCCTTAGTTCGCGGACAGTTCGATGCCTCCCGTTCCCCTTCAGCGAAGACCTTTGTCCCATGAAGACCCGGCGCTCACCGATGAAGGTATGCTCTGTCGCATTTACTAGTCCCCCTCCACACTTCTTCATAGTCTTGTTTACTTTTGCGAAATGCTGATTGCTTATTGTTCTACATAGATGTCGGCCTCCTCTACCAAGTCATTACCCGTGCGGAGAGGGATCCAGAAGTCGAGCGACTCCCGTACCGTGTGCTATTCAAGGCCTACGACGAGGTTATTGCCGAACATGGCGTCGACGCGGATCCAGGCTATGCCTGTATGCGCTTCTTGCTCAAAATGGGAAGCAAACATGTCATAGGAGAGTCGCTCTTCGACAAATTCGAAAACCTACTCGAACGGATGGGCATTGTTATTGAATTCGGCGGCGAGGATGATACCTACGATGAGACGTACCCGGACAGTGTACCCTCCATCGAGAGCAGGCCTAGGCGAAGGATACGCGACACCCGGGAGGACTCAACGCAGCCACAGCCACAAAAACAACCACAGACACCTCTGCGAAGGCGGGCGTCCTTTAATTCCATGTACGATGTTGGCGACGATCCCACTCAAAGAAGCTTCATCAACCGCCCAAGCTCACGGTCGTCCATGTCGCGAATACAAGTTGGGAAGCCTGAGTATCCGTTCACGAAGCCGTCGCCGTCCCCGAAGCATGCGCGGGTCTCTCCAGAAGCGGAGTCCCCCGACAGGACTCAATTGATGGCTCAATTTATCGAAGTGGGTCGCCGGCTCATGAGTCGGATGGACTTTCTGGCTGCGCAATCCTCGTCTGCTCCGCCGCCGCCGGCTAACGAGAAGCCTCTTCCCAATGGACTATATGCCCGGTCTGCCGTCGACCGCGATCGCTCAGAGAGAATAGCGGAAGCCTCACGAGCCCGGCGCTCGAAAACATCCTCAAATGGCTCCGATGAAGAGGGAGAGCAATCATCTTCAGTGTCCTCCAATAACGATAGCATTAGTCCCCTCGAACGGCCAGAGATGCCACCGGAAATGCTATATAGGCCATCGCTTTCGGATCTGCTGCGGGATGCATCGACTTTCAACATGTACCGCCAACGGGCCATCAACCGTCGACTTCTCACGCAGTGGGTTAAGAGGGCGATACAGGCCAGACAGAGTCACCATAATATGGAGATGGTCGCCGTAAATCGAGATCGAAACACCTTGCTTCGACAGGCGTTTCAAACGTGGCATACCATCATCCGCGACAGACGGCAGGAAGAGCGAACGGAAAGATTCTTCAAGCATCTGGAAGAGCGCGCGGGACGGGCTCGGGATCTCTTTCTCCTCACCAAGGCGTTCTCCCATTGGGCGCAACTGACTGCAGAGGAACTTGCTCGGACATCTGCAGCTCGGCGACATATCCTTAGCGTCAAGTACTTCCATGCATGGCGTGAGATCACCGCAGTCAATGAGATGAAAGCCCAGCGCTTTGCTCTGCGAAAACCTTTTGCTGCCTGGCTAAAAAGGACGAGAGAGGTCAAACAGGCGGAAGAGAAGGCGGTTGTTATCAGTAGGGAGAAGTCGAAACACACATTCTATTGGCAGTGGTTCTGGAGCTTCTGCGAACAGCGTGCCCCTCAGTGGTACGGCTATTGCCTCAAAAGACGCTCTCTGTTGTACTGGTTGCGCAAGTTTCGAACCAACAGGGAGTGCATTCATGAGATTGATGTCCGCAATAAGCAATATGCTGTGGGATCGGTAATGCAACTATGGCATGAAAAGACTCAAGGTGTCATTGCGAGGGAGCAACAAGTAGCATTGACGGAGCGCCGCAAGGTTCTGGAGGAGAAGCTGATAGAATGGAGGGCTCAAGCTCATTTAGCCCCGGTTGCTAACCATGTTACAAAAATGGTGGACACACATATCCTTCAAGCGGCGTACTCACAGTGGGTGCATCGCGCTCAAATGCTGAAGCAGGCACGGGAGATGGATCGGCAACGGATAATACGCAATGCGTGGACAACGTGGAATGACCAGCTTCGCTGTCAGGCTCTCTATGCCCGAATTGAGGAACGTATCAAGCTTGAAGCGATGTACAAATGGATTTTGGCAGAGAGATACCGTCTCATGCAGCGCATTAGGGAGCAGCGCATCAAGCGGGAAGTCTTCTCGGTCTTTGTGACTAACGTTCGGAGGACTTATGCCGAATTGCTTGACCGTGCGGAGGTATTTGAGGAGCAACGAAACGAAGACTTGCTCCGATCCAAGCTCGAACGCTGGCGGGATCAGCTATCGTTGCAACGCAAGAGGGAGATGGTTGCCTCTGAGTTCTACGCTCCACGCTTAGCGCAGGAATCGCTTGTGGCCTGGCGTTCGAAGTATCAGCATGTGGTCAAGATAGAGGGATGGGCTAATACCGCCAGATACTACTTCCTGGCTACCAAGTTCACCAAGAAATGGCGCGTCGCGACAGTTGAATCTGCCAAGAAGCGTCGCCAACAAGCGTATATCCAGACCCGGAGGAAGATCAAGATCAATCTGGCATCGAAAGCTCTATCTCATTGGCACTCCAGGTCCTTACATATGGCAGGTCTGGAGCAGCAAGCCCTGCAATTCTCACGGCAACGCTGCTTGGCAATGGCGTCCGAGCTTGTACCTCGATGGCAACACAAAACCTTCAATCGCCTCCAAGACTGCGATGCGGCCGATGATCACTATGCGCGCCAAATTGTTGGCGAACAATTGACGCGTTGGGTCGAGGCCTTGCTTGTGTATCAGCGCCAGGAGCAACAAGCAAATAACATGAATCGGGAGCATGTACTCGGCCAGGCCAATATCCAATTGCGGAAGCTTAGCTTCCGTGTCTTCCAGGTCAAGAGCTTCTCCGAGACCTCCGAGGCGATGAAGGAACGAAACCTAAGGAAGCACTGTCGAAGCATGTTCCGTAGCTGGCTGGAGAAAGCACGCGTGAAGTCCGAGTCGCGGGATTTACCAGGGCCTCTGATAAGTCCGACGAGAAACTATGATGGAGCGACCTTCGAAGCCGAGCCGAACCGACGCATTTTCGATCCTTGGTATCAAACCACGACCCCCTTTAAGACCAACGACCTAGCTGTGGCCGCGAACAGCCAAATCCAAATGGCCTCGACCACGCCGCTGGCGACACCCAACTTCCTCACATCGCCGTCCAAAAGAGCCGCCAGAGCACGGGCCATGGCGCATGTTTCTACTACTCCGGCTACGCCCTCTTACACTCCATTTGCCAGTCGACTTTTGCGCGTCGGTACTGTACTCCCTCGAACCGACTCGACTAGACGCCGTACTGGACGAGCGAGCGCACTGGGCACTAGCGTCCGGTTCGTGGATGAAGAACCGGGGTCTCCTTCCGATGGCAGAAGATCATCCGGTCGACGGACGTGAAACCCTTCCGGGTTATACTTGTATAGGACTTTATGTACATTTTTCTTCTGGTTCCCTTTGTCTATTTTGGGGTTTTGGATGGTGCAGCTTTTTGGGGCGAAGGTTATGATAGATACCCTTTTTGCATGGCAGGTTCTGTGGATTAGCTATTGTCGGCTTGGATAATTGAACAATATACACCTCATGTTGGTGAAACACCTGAAAGCACAGCTCAAGTAACACAATCAATCGGATAATGATCTTCAAACTCATCTTCACCCCTATCACACCGACTCAACTTACCTCTCACCAGCTCATCCATCTCCCGCCGCTGCTCACTTAACAGCCGTACACGATCCTGCAAAGACCACAAGTCCCCATAAAACCACCGATCAACAAACTCCCAATAGATCCCATCAAACATATAGAACCATACCTCGCGGCAAGACACAAACAATATAGCCCATTGTCCAAGGACTCGCCCATCCTCAAAGCCGTTCGTTGTGACTCCAAAAGAAGCCCCTGCCCCATTCACTCGTCTTCACACTCACGCAATACTTCCAAAAACACATGGAATCGGGGAATATACCGATCCAGGAATTGATGCAAATCCCCCTCTCAGTCCTCCGGACTCTGGAGTAACAGCCACCAGGGCGCTACGTATGTGAGCTCTGCTGGGGCAGCGTAGGTGAATTCCCAGTAGAGGTATTGAGATCAATGAGTACGTTTGAGGGACGGAAGTCGTCGCAGTAGAGACGGAAGGGGCCTTGGGGGTTTAGTAAGGTGGAGGTTCTTCGTTAGGTTTTGGAATAGGTAGCGAGCGATGAGTTTTCGTTGGAAGTCTCCTTCGCTGGTGATGGAGGGTTTTTGTTGTTGTAGACGAAGGTGGAGGAGATGCTGTGTGGCTAGGGAGTGGAGGTAATCTGTGGATGAGGTGAAGGTGTGAGAGGGAGGTGGGAATGCTTCTAGTGGTAGGTTTGCAGAGGTCATTAGGTCGTTCATGTTGAAGATGAGAGGTCGTTTAGTGATGCTGAAGCAATCATGCTCTGTTTCTTCGAGTGCACCGATGGAGTCGAATTCTACTCTGGAGAGCTCGAGGACTAGGATGACCATTTCGCGGTATGCGTGCTTCAAGCTGTGATTACTAATTCGGGGGTTTAGGAGTGGCCTTCCTGCAGAAGAATGGTCCTTGAGGAGCTTCGATAGTGGTACACCCTCGATTAATGACATGATTATGTAGGGACCTGCCCAGCAGATCCCCGAGGCGCATACTTCCGGAACGGGGATTGATGTGGTCTTGTCGGATGTAGTTCATTGTTGCGACTTCACTTTGAACTTTTCTCGGCGAAGGATGGCTCTCCCTAGAGCGGCGAATCGGATGATGACATTTGGTTCTTCGTTATTGTTGTTTTTTGTATCTTACTCTATAGCAGATGTTAAATGCTCCGCTTTTCCAAAGGCATGCGGAGATGGGTTTGCCGCTGGCTGGTCGGTGTTTGTGGGCAAGTTGCATTGATAGAAGCTCTGGCTGTGGACTGGACCAGAGACGGAGCCAGGTCGTGGCTTTTCGTTCTTGTTTCTTTTCTGCGATATGGTCGAATTCCATTGTTGGATGGTGGTTGGGGTTAGGGTTGTAGGGGGTGAGGTTTGAGGCAGTTGCAGAGTAGCCAGACGGCTACTTCAGTTTCAAGTTGTGGCTACAAGGCAGACTTTATGAGCGAAAGCTGAAAGCAAAACTGTTAAGATAAGGCATAAATGAGGGAGTTCTGCATGACAGGAATTATGCCCAGCAAGAGGCGGATCTCTACATCCTATTCAGTCCCTTTTGGTGATAATATATCCTCACTCCACTCTACTATTATCAGAGCACAGCCCTGCAACTGATAAGTGAGGGTACTCTGCAGTTGTAGCTTTATCAACAACTAATCACAGTCACATTTGATTACTAGTTGGTCATAAAGATCCCTGCTTACTTTGCAGCAGTCTGGATCCCCGCAAGCCTAATTAGCGAGGTTAATCTAAATAGGTATGATCCCCGGGGATAACATGTCCTTGAAAGAACTGATTAAACTAGATGGGGATATTGCTTAGGAGCTACAATGTGGCAAAGCGCCATATCATTGTATATCTTTTTAAAACCAGAAGTCACTCAAAGTAAAGGAAGACCGGAGGCTATCCGAACAAGCAGTTGGGGTTGATGACGATGAATGAATGAGTCTGGGCGGTGTGGATCACGGGGCCGACGATCGGGGATGCTCTTCTTGCATCTTCGAGGTGAGCTGTCCCCTCCACCCGCATACAGCTCTATACTTGCATCTTTCTTGCAAACCCCGTCACATTGCGCAGTTTTCAACTAAGTTTTTGCTCCTATAACTGCGCACTGGCAATGGTGTAGCGCCATTGTCAGCGCATCCCCGCGCATCCAACGCATTCTACCTCTCCACAACCACCCGCCTCCATGCGAGCGGTACTGCCGGGGAGGCCCCCAACGAAGCTCCAGGCTTACAGCACCGCGCTGTGGGATGGTCTTCGTGTTGTGGTAAGCTCTCTGCATGAACCTCTTCAGCTTCCCCGGTGTTCTATAAGTGGTCATGTGGCTGATTCGGCGCTTTCTGCGCACTCTCTCCACAGGCGTACATATCCGGCCATGCACTAGTGATCCTCGGCGGTCCGCACAAGCTCCTACAAACCATCTATGTCGACGATACCGACGCCCTGGAGGCTGTCACCATAGATGAGCTCTCCGGAAAGATCGCCGTATGCGGTGGACCCGATGTGTTCATCTACCAACCGTATGGCATCCAGCATGAAACCTTGAAGGTCCGTGGTCAATGAGATGGAAAGATACAAGCTATACGAGACGTGCATGCTGATGGATCTATGGGGTAGTGGTCTCTAGCCCAAACCTTTCGCAGCGAAGACGACAATGAGACTATTCGTACCCTGTCATGGGGCTCCTCCGAGGAGCTGCTTCTCGGCAACTCTCACCTCACTCTCTGGTTCTTGAACGATACCCCGCGCCAAGTTTGGAAGCAGAAGCTGGCTTCTCCCGTTAAATTCGCGCGCTTCTCCCCCGATGCAACTCTCCTTGTCACCACTGGGCATTATGACCGCATGGCCAAAGTATGGCGCCGACTCGCATTCGGGACGGACATTCGTTTCGAAGTGTCATATCTTCCCCACCCTACAGTCATTACCGGGATACATTGGCGAAGACCGTACCATCGAGAGCAGTCTATGGACAATGTATTCTATACCGTATGCGCCGACAATAAGATTCGGGTATGGGCAACCGTGGATCATCATGCGCCGACCGCCTTGCAACTATGGGCGCAAATTGATATGGCCGCTTCTGTCCAGCCAAGGCATGCGACCGACAAGAGCGATCCGACCCGTCGATATGGCTTCATTGTGGACAGTCGGGACTTTTGCATGGCTACTGAGCGAGCTGTGCAGAGAAGTACAGGAAACAAGGATAATCACACTCTGGAACATATCATCGAAGTCGCGAATAAGAGCCCCGAAGTCTGTGTCGTGATTGATGGACAAGGGCACATGTCGGCCTGGGCCCTGGAAGATGTTGGGTCCAAGGTCAAATCTGAAATGCACATGTTCAATATTCTACATGTGGAAGGCCTGGACTTCGCGTTCATGCCCGGTGTCTCTCCGGAAGAAGACTATGCGCAGCTGCATGCATTCCAGGGTGCAGAACCAGGCGACTCCATCAGTATTCTAGTGCATCACTTTGACGGCCGGATTGAGTGGTTCGATTCCCCGGTAGATGTGCTTTTTGATCCTGCTCCGCGCAAAAACCGGGTGTCTATGAAGGCGTCATGGACCGGCCACAATGGCCCCATAAAGAAAATCGTTCGTAATGCCATTGGCCACACGCTTGCCTCGCGTACGGATGATAACAAGGCGTTGATCTGGAGGCAAAAGCAGCGAGAGAGTGGTACGGCGCTTCTTCGACAGAGCGAGCTATTCTCTGACGAACATATACATCGCAGTTGCGTGCTAGAAGACGGCGACTTTCTGGTCAACCTCCATCACAACGGAATCTCCTTCTGGGATATCCGTCCATTTCATGCCAAGAAGCTGGCGGCCACAACGTTTGAATTATCAAGCAAGCCACTGTGTGTCTTGCCTATCCCTACAGCCGAGCAGAATGGGGTTGTCTACGTAGCAACTATTGGCGCGAGCATGGACGGAATTGCTTGGGAGTTTCAACTGCCGACCTCTAAGCAGACCAACGGAACAGCGGATGGGACTCAATGTCAGCTGCGGAAGTTCTGTACATTCCATTTGGGGTTGGATGAGGACATGGCTTACATCTTGCCTGTCGACCCAGCCGGCCGCAAAGCCGAGATGCCCGGCTTCTTTGACCTCTTCTCGCCGGATATAGCACTTTCATACACCAAGACTGGCATTGTCCGCACCTGGACGGCCAAGATTGACAAAGAGAAGAGCCGCGTCGAATGGCTCTTGACTTCGACCGTAGAGACAGGTATCAAGAACCTGTCGCTTGCGAGCGGGAGCTCCATTAAGAAAGCAGCACTTGTGGATGAAGACCGCACGCATCTGACGATATGGGATATGAATGATGCACAGCTGGAGTATGAAGAACATTTCTCACAAGGCGACATCATCCGTGACTTAGATTGGACGTCAACGCCAGACATGCAGTCTATCCTAGCGGTTGGGTTCCCTCATAAAGTCATTCTTTTATCCCAGCTCCGATATGACTACCTTGACTCGCGCCCGTCGTGGACACAGATCCGCGAAATCTGGATCCGCGACCTTACTCCTCATCCTATCGGGGATTCCTGCTGGCTCAGCAATGGCTGCCTCGCCATTGGAGCTGGAAATCAACTCTTCGTGTATGGGAACGAAATTGAAAGTTCCGATCATCTGGTATCTCAGTTACGTATACCAGCTCGCGGATCTTCTACTGTCGATCTCTTCGAGGTTGTGAGCCGGCTGAATGGACCGCTGCCCGTTTTTCACCCGCAATTCCTGGCGCAGTGCATTCTGAGCGGCAAAAACAACCTGGTACATGCGGTCTTGCTAAAACTTCATCGCATACTCAAGTTCTACACGGAAGGTGATGACATTGACGGCTTCCTGGACATGCCCTTGGAAAGCTTTTACATTGAACATGATGTAAGCACCTATATGATAGCCACACAATTCCGCCGCTAACCTGTTAGACCCCCCAACGAGCCACCTCCAAAGGCATAGATTCCTCATATGCCGATCTCAACATGGATGAAGAGTCGATCGTAGTGGATGAGGATACGGCCCTGGTGCTCAACGAGAACCTGGCGCGATTTACTCTGCCCCAGCTTTCCAGCCAAGAGCAATTCCGCTTGGTGGACACGATTGAGTGTGTTGCAACTGTGGAGAAGCATCGCCGCTCAATGGATGACAATGCTGCGCGATATCTCCTCTTCTTCCGTCAGCATATGCTACGCAGGTCCCAAGGAGTGGCAAACAAAGACACGGTATCCTGGCGAGAAATTGTCTGGGCATTCCATAGCGGCAGTCAGGACATCTTAGTAGACCTTGCATCAAGACAATTTGGTGGAAAGATGACGTGGAAGGCGGCCAGAGAGTGTGGGATGTTCATGTGGCTGTCGAATCCTACTGCTGTGGTAAGATTCACCTCTGGGCAGTGATCGAATTGTGCTAACAGTGTCAGCGGGCGCAATTGGAAGTCGTTGCTCGGAACGAGTATACTAAATCGGAAGAGAAGAACCCCATCGACTGTTCGTTGTACTATATCGCCCTGAGGAAGAAAAACGTCCTGCAGGGTCTCTGGCGGATGGCGCATTGGCATCGTGAACAAGGTGCAACACAACGACTGCTTGCCAATAACTTTCAGGAAGAGCGGTGGAAAACGTCGGCATTGAAGAACGCATATGCTCTGCTTGGAAAGCGAAGATTTGGTGCGTATTATGGAACTGAATCTGGAACCCAACTAACGCGGTATAGAATATGCTGCCACCTTCTTCCTTCTTGCGGACCATTTGCGCGACGCCGCTTTTGTGTGTCTCAACCAGGTCGGCGATCTCCAGCTTGCTATCGCCATCACGCGTGCCTATGAGGGAGATGACGGTCCAGTGTTGAAAGAGATCCTGGAAGAAAGAGTGCTGCCTGAGGCTGCCACTGATGGAAACCGGTGGATGGCATCGTGGGCTTTCTGGATGCTGGGTCGTCGTGGAATGGCAGTCCGATCGCTGATTGTGAGTATCTCCGTGACTGTAAAAGGAAGGATACTAATGTTATTTCTAGTCCCCGGTAGAGTCACTTATCCCCGAGACGCCAGCGTCTCCAGGCAGCCCAGGGATGATACCCTTGCAAGCCAAGTCGTATCTTTCCAACGACCCTGCATTGGTTGTCCTGTACAAGCAACTCCGTGAGAAGACACTACAGACACTGAAAGGAGCATCTAAAGTATCCGCGCAGTCCGAGTGGAGTTTCGTCATCCGCAATGCTCGTCTGTACGACCGCATGGGATGCGATCTCCTGGCTCTAGATCTAGTACGCCACTGGGAGTTCCTGGGAGGACCTCCTTCACCACAACCAGCCAAGGAGGGGCCACTCGATTTGCATGATGGGGTAGACTATCGCAAGATGCTGCGCCGACGTAGCAGTCTGGTCGTTGCGGACCTGCCGATCCGCGAGAGCTTGCAACAGAGTATCCAAGCTGCGGCAGCACCGAAACCGAAACCGAAGCCACCTCCAACGACATTCCAAGAGCCAGATGCCAACTCGTTGCTTGACAGCTTTGGTTTCTAGTCTGGCTGTAGCTAGTTTTTGAACGATTTATTGTATCATTATTGCGTACCAAGTGTTCGGTGTGCATACATTGACTGCTACTTGATATTTCCTGGCATCTCGTCAAGGTTTTAGCATGTATATCGTTCAATTCATTCTGTAATTGCTAATAACAATCAACCAAGCATGAGAGACATTTTTATTCATAAGACATGATCGCATCCGAAACAAACCCCATCAGTAAATCGAGAACCTCCCCCTCTTCCTCCGAGGCATCAACCTCCACGACACCGTCTGGTTCAGCGGAGCATGCACTAAAGTAGACGTGCTGTTGACTCCCGTGCTGTTACTCATCGCAGCATGCAATGAAGAGCCAGACAACGTGCTATTCCCTGCACTTGTGGTCCCATTCGCACCCGGTTCAGATGTTGCGCTGACCATACCCCCATGCGTAACACTTCCCATTTTATCCTCTTTCTTATTATCCTGCTGCTGCTGCTGCGCAGCATCACCAACACCAGTACCTTCAACCTGATTGACACCATGAACATCTTCAGAAGGATAAGCATCCGCACACTCCAACAACACCCACACATTCCCCTTCCCCTTCCCAACCCCATCCCCTTCACTCCGAGGATACCTCCCCCTAACAATCGGATACTTCGGACGAGGACGAGGATAATGATGTTCAGCACACTCACTCCCCACCCACTGACCAAACTCCCCCGCATGGACACTTTGCGCAAGGAACGGCTCATCCACGCACCCGGGCTGTTCATGCATGGTCACGTTGCAAAGTTGGGGTATTACCCCTCCTTCTTCGATATCCTTGTTGGTATCCTCTCCATTAGGAGCAGGCGATACGAATTGCTCGATCTGTGTATCGAAGGATACATGCGTGGATGTTATGGGGATTGGGTGACATGTTCCTTCGTGGAGTTGGAGGGGAATGTGTTGGTGGGCGCGGGGGGATAGTAGTACTGGTGATGGTGGTGGTGGTGGGGAGGGAGGGCAGGTATTGTGGAAGACAGGGTGGATGTTGGCGATGGTGGAGGCGGCGGTTGCTGTTGATGATAGGGTTAGGGATAGGGATAGGAGGGAGATGGTGGTGAGGTGGTGGCGCATTGTTGAGGTCCGCTATTAGGAGTGAGAAGGTGAAGTAAGTAGATGTTTGGATTCAAAGATGAGTTCGATTGGATTGACTTCAAGAAGCTGAATGATGCTTTCAGTTAAATTCAAAAGTTATCTATCTACATCCTTATATACTACCATCCTTCCCCTCTGGCAACTTCTACCAGCCGCTGATTTACACGTCTACGCGCGAAGAATAGAGTTGCTGAGAATGAGTATGCATGTAAATAGGAAGGAGTAATTGGCGTCGGGAGTGGCTAGCATTCAGCATTCCTGGGCGTGGGTGTGGATATGTCAATTGCCGTTTGTGGACGGCTGGATACTGTATCCGCATTCCTGAGAGGGTTGACCTGTGTGTGATTGGGGGCTTGGGGGGTGATCTACGGATCAGCGCTGGATGTAGTCTAGTTCATTGGTACAGAGTAGATTGGGGGTTATTGTTTGTTGTTGTGCTACTATGCTTACCTGTTTCGCTTTGAGTTGGAGTCCTATAGTAGTACTTCGTAGTCAGCGGTCGAAGATAATGCTCTAGGTAAAATTATTGATGTATTCAGGTCTTACTGAATACAAAGTTTCAGAGTTTAATCTGGTAGATTAACATTATTATTTTCTAGACTACATTGGTTATAACCCAGTAAGTCATGGCAACCTCCGCTTCAACCCGTACATGTCCAGCACATGGCTATCGCTCACACCTTGACCAGTCTACAGACCGAGACCAAGTCCGCCGAGGATATTGCCGCTGCCATTGTCCTGGGTATCGTTGGGGTCGTTGGCGAGGTCTTCGGCAGGGTTGTGCGATTCCACCTTCTGTAGGTCATCCTTGTTACCGTCACCCCCATCACACAGCAGCCGGACGTAGACGTATTTGTCGAACGGGTCATCCGGGATGCACCCGCTCTCGGCATCCTCCTGTCCCGGGTAGAAAGGAACCACTGCGTTGGGCACGCCAATGCACTCGTCATTGGCATAGACACCCAGACCATGGCAACGCTCAGAGGTATCCTTGGTGACGTCTTGGAGGCTCACCGAGTAAGCATCGATTGACAGGCTGTGCGAGATCTTGGCCTTTTCGCATGTATCTTCGGTGGCGTAGGTGGTTTCGGCATCTCCAATAAGCTTGTCATTGGGGGGAGCGCCAGGGTCGCAATCTTCGTGGGACTTCACTGTGACTTGTGCCACGCCGTAGCCGTAAACGGCTGGGGTCAGGCAGAGGGCCGAGGCGACGAGGAGCTGGACTTATTAACAGATGTTTTGAGTATACGGATGAGTGATACTAACGCTGGAGAAATGCATGGCGAAGATCAAGCGATTTGGTAGATGCAAGAGGTTGCGGATGGCGGGATGCAGAATAAGAACAATTGCTCCCAGAGGATCAAGCCATGATTTATATCACGGGCGAAGAAAGGATCCACGACTCCTGGGACTGTTACTTTTCTGATTTTCCTTGATGTTCATTGTTTTGGAATGCAATGGGAGTTCGTGGGCGCGTCGGAATGGATCGTCCACAACACAAAGGGTTAAGTTCAGTCTGCCTGGGGCCCCGGCGGACTAAACGGTGCGGAGAAAGCTTCCATACATGGCCCTCTAGCCTTGGTTTTTTGTGGAACATAAAATGCCTACATAGCCTGGATCGTAGCTTGCGCTGCCCAGGAGGTCTGGGAAGGGATGGCAAGGACTGTACGGCACGCAGGGGTGGATGCCGATTCTCCTACCATCCCCATATCTGTCAACCCTGTCGGTGTCTTGGCCATGTCAGAATCAGCTTACCTCAGATTCGAAAAGACAAGGAGGATGAGAGGCTCAGAAGGGCTCAAGATAGACGCAATTATACTTTGCCCTAAGACAAGTACTCATCATCGCGACCAGGAGTCTTCAGCCCTCCCTAGCTGCGAACCCGTCACCTTAATGTGGTCAAAGCCACCCTGTTACAGGAGATATCACATATGTTGGTGCAGATTACCCCGAGGTAGGGATAATAGTATCGGCGGCGCATGGCTGGCCGCCTGACATAGAAAGCGCATGAACGAGCGCGGGGTTGCGACGCGACTGTAGAACCGGACATCGCCTACTGTGTAGTTGCACCAACGCCACAGACGCTAGATTCTCGGTGGTCGGAAGGAAAGCTAGCTGTAGTAAGCCATGACCAGGTAAGACTCGGTCTGATCGTTGATCGAAATTCCCAGTAGCCCATACGCAGCTGTGACTGCAGTTAAGCCCCGGCTCTTCCGAGAACCCGTCAGAATTAAGACCAAGGCCTCAAGGCCCACCAGCAGATTGCCAAGGGAATAGCTCTGCTTTGTCGCTGCGTAACAGACTTGGCTTTCGACAGCTATGCTCTTCCCGAGCAGCATCGGATCCATGGCACAAAGGGCTTGTCATGTGTGATGGTGTCGACTTATCGCTCTGTCAGCCAGATTCACCCCGCTGTGAGGCTTAATTGCAATGATTCGAGATAGATGAATCGTGCTGCCTATTGGCGCTCATACATAAACGTTCCGAGCTGCGTGGTGGAGGTAAGACGGCAGAGTCAAAGGCCCCATTGGCCGTGTCGACTAGCACGTAGGAGTGATAGTCCCGACCGGGATGCTGCAAGCTGCAGTCTCACTGTAGTATAAAGGGCAGATAGCTGTCATCTCCAACTTGAAATTGTCGACACACTCAAATCATTCCGACTATCCTCATTTCGCTTCTATCGTCACCCATCATGACCGTCTCAACTGAATCTACAACCGACGTGCAAGTCTTCCCGTCTGTTCCTCGGCCGCTACTGCTGACCCAGACACAGCCTCATCATCGGTGCGGGTCCATCGGGTCTAGCTGTTGCTTACTGGATGGCGCAGTATGGCATTAACGCTCGCATCATCGACAAGCGTAGCACGAAAATATTCCGAGGCCACGCAGATGGCCTGAGGGGCCGAACGCTCGAACTACTTGACAGTATGGGGATTACCCAAAGGATCCTGCAAGAAGGATACCACGCAGCAGGTCTGAAGTATTGGGTAAGAGGCACAGTTAACGTCGGTGGGAGCGGTCACTAATCATGGATACTAGAGACCGGACGGAAATGGGGGTTTGAAGCGCGCTGGACAACTGCGAAGCACAATCTGGAAATCCTCGCCGCATCGCATGGCCTTATTGTCCCAAGGCCGCATCGAACGGTTTTTCCTTGATGTTATCCGGGATTCGTCCAGTATCGACGTTGAAAGAGGCGTAATGGGAGAGTCACTGACCTATGATGAGAGCCTTGAGCATGATAGCCAGGCATACCCCATCACGATCAAGCTGAGGACTCTAAGTGAGGAAGAAGCAACCCCTATCCCTAACCCGGGTACTACACCCTACCGTCCAGCCCGGGACGACCTGGAGGACCTGGCCCCAAAACGCAAGCACAATGTTGGGACAATCGAGACGGTTCGGGCCAAGTATCTCATTGGCTGTGATGGGGCGCACAGCTGGACGAGGAAACAGTTGAACATCCCCTTCGAGGGATCCCACACAGATCATATATGGTAACCTACTACACCATTTCTTGATCGACTGTAGCTGACTTGCATTGCCTTAGGGGAGTTATGGATGTGGTCCCAATCACGGATTTCCGTAAGTTCAACACCTGGTATGGAACGAAAGACTTCTAACGTCGAACCACAGCGGACATCCGCTGGCCGTCTTCCATTGACAGTCCGCACGGGCATCTGCTTGTCATCACGAGAGAAAACAATGTGGTGCGCTTCTATGTCCCTTTGCAAGAGGAAGACGAGATATCGCCTTCTTTCGATCGGTCGACGGTGACTCTGGACATGCTCCGGGAAAGAGTGAAGAGCATCATGTCTCCCTTCTCTTTCGACTTCAAGATCTGTCACTGGTGGGCTGCCTATCAGGTACACCCTGGCTCTCGCTTTCCCAACCGATCCCGTGGTGATGGCTGGTTAATAAACTCTAGGTCGGTCGGAGACTCGCGCCCGCTGTCAACAAAGGACGTATGTATCTTGTCGGGGATGCCGTCCATACTCACAGCCCTAAAATTGGGTTGGGAATGAACATGAGCATTCAAGACGGCTTCAACCTCGGTTGGAAGCTGGCGCTGGTCGTGAAGGAGATGGCGCCTCCTTCGATCCTCGGTACCTACAAGTCTGAGCGTCATCAGCTCGCCAAGATGCTCCTTGAGTTCGACCAGAAATGGGCTGCGTTCTTCCTGAAGCAGAAGAAAAAGCAGGATCAGCTTGAACTCCAGGGTCTTCCGGAAGCTAACCCAGAAGACATCCAGGCCATGCAAGATGTTTTTCGCGAAAATGAGATGTTCGCCGAGGGCCATGTATCGTTCTACAAGGCGAGTCTCATAGTAGACAAGGACAGTACAGCAGTGGCCAAGCACCTGACAGCAGGAGAAAGATTTCCGCAGGCACTTATTTGCAAGCAAGCAGATGGTCAGCCATGGTGGACTTCACGGCTCCTAAACAGCGATGGCCGTTTTCGGCTTCTGCTTCTGGTCGGAGACTGCCGGCTGGAAGACCAGAAGAGTCGTATATTGGCTCTCAATGGGGGTTTGTTGGCACTTCAGAAACGCTTCACGCCCCCCAAGCAAAAGCTTGACTCTGTCATCGAGGTCAAGGCAATTCACAGTGCTCCGCTAGATGATGTTGAACTGAGCGACTTCCCCCCAGTTCTGCGCCAGTTCGATGAGACCACTGGCTGGGACTATACCAAGGTCTGGAGTGACAGTGAGTGCTTCTGGGATGAACAGTGCAAAGGCAACGCATATGAGATCTGGGGGGTGGACAGATCAAGGGGTGCCATGGTGGCTTTACGGCCCGATCAGTACATTGGATGGATTGGAGAGCTCGACGACGTGGCCGGCGTGACCAAATACTTTGAAGGGTTCCTTCACGAGCCTCGGCCGGAAGCGGTGCTGTAGCCTTCAGAATTAATGTGGAGTAATCCAGGTAGATTGTCTACTACTTATTTTACTAGTAGAAATTAGCCGAAGTCCTGCAGTTACATTTTCAAGTGAAATAGGGTGATCTAGAAATGAGGTAGATAACTTGCCTCTTGCCTTATCACTTGTCAAAGTAATGGAATGTGATTAATGTGGGGGATGTCGGCTGAGATCCGAGCGCATGTTTCTGAGCTGCTCTTATCGCTTGTTGGAGTTGCAGTGGGTCGCTGTCAATGGCAAGGCGCGCAGTTTGTACTCAACGGCGGGACCGACATATAACCTATTGCTGGTCCCAATCGATTTCTTGACTGGCCTACCTTCTTTTTTTTTCAGTCCCCGGCGAAATCTGCAAATCATTATGGCACCTCCCTCGTCTCCTACGGACCATCACATCGTGGCCCTGCAGGGCGACTTTATCAGAATCCCCAAGTTCGAATTACCCGCTCCTTATACTTACACCACAACAATCTACGGACAGACATCGCTCTCCGAACTCCACGAACGGATACACGATGCCTCTATCTTAGTTCTATCGGCGCTGCGAATTGATGCAGAGGCACTATCACCCGAGGCGACCCCGTATCTGAAATTGATTGTGATAGTTGCTGCAGGCAGCGACTGCGTGGATCTCGAAGCATGCAGAAAGAGGGGCATTACTGTGAGCAACTGTCCTGCAGCAAACACCGAGGCTGTCTCCGAGCATGCAATTGGACTTTACTTTTCTGTCCGCCGCAAAGTTATGCGCGCGCACACATTGACTCGCGCGGGCGAATGGACCCGGAAAAAGACCCTCGTCTTCGATTGTGTAAATCACGATGGAACGCAACCCCTGACCTGCCAGGAGGAGGTGGCCGGAATTATCGGAAATGGCGCTGTCGGTACGTGCTTCGGGCGATCCATGGTTTGTCCTTCGCTTGGATTTACATTGGCTGACTCAAATTCAGGAAAGCGGATCGCCCAATTAGCCCGTGGGCTGGGTATGAAGGTTATTATCGCAGGGCGCAAAGCACTTGGTGATGCGAGCACACCGAATCACGCAGACGACAATGTGGAGAGGGTTTCCTTCGACGAGGTGATTAGGCAGAGCACAGTGATTTTCATTGCGGTTCCCCTTGCTCCTTCGACGCGAAATCTGCTATCGACGGCTGAATTCGAAGCCATGTCACCTCATGCGGTTTTGGTCAATGTCTCGAGGGGAGGAGTGATGGATGAAGTGGCACTTGTCCGAGCATTGCAGGAGAACCGCATCACCGGTGCTGCAACTGATGTGTTTGAGAAGGAACCTGCTGGGCTGGAGAACAGTGCTCTGCTGGCTGAAGGCACTGAGGATCTGAACCTGGTTCTGACACCTCATATTGCATGGGCCACACAGAAGACGTTGATCAACTATGAGCAGAAATTCAAGGAAACGGTGGAGAAGTGGATGGTGGGGGAATTCATGAACGTAGTGACCTGAATCAAAATATTTCGAATGTTAAATAATTAGATACCATGAAAGACCATTTCCATTATATTTTGAAAGACATCAAGCATAGCTCGAAAGGAGTGGATGATGATGATGCTCTCTTTCTCTTTGTTTGGTTGCTTCTTATCGCAGGCTGAGTCAGCCTGTTATCAGGCCTGCAAATGATGGCGAATCCTCAACTAATCATCGGATGAGCTGCGATGCTTCCCCATCGCGCTGTCGATCGCTCCATCAATCGATTCCCCAGTCATCCTCGCGGCTTACTCTTATCTCCCCGCTTTCCGCTCCGTCCCTTGCGTGATGGCTCGTTGATCCGACTTTTCCTTCTTCAGTGACAGGAGAGCCCTCCTCTCGTGCTGGCTCGACTAACCTGAACCGCGACGGCATCCGATGAA